AATAACTTACCAAAGATGATGATTTTTATGGAAAACCTCTTGAAATGCCCTAGATCTCGAAATTTTTGAGAGAAATGAGAGGTTGTTGTTGTGAGTGTTTGAGAGAAAATTCAAGTGAGTGTGTGTGTGTGGTGTGTGTGTGTGATCCTCGGCCGAAGATAAGAAGAAGAGGGGAGGAGAGAGTGGTGAGGTGATGATGCATGGGGATGTGAGAAGGGTGCATGGATATCCCCCATACAATTTTGAGTGTCACCCCCCCTTAATACCCATTAGTCTTATTTCCCTTTTTTTTATATTGGGCCGAATTCTTGGGCTAGGAGAAGGAGGAAATAGATTAATTTGGCCACTTCTTATCTTGGTTCAAATTTTGAGGTCCATAAAGAAGTTTTCGGCCCATTGGGCCCTTAGGTGGTTCACGGCCCAATTAGCATAAAGATTTGGTTTGTGGCCCATTAGGCCCAATTAGATTTGTTATGGCCCAACAATGCCCATTAAAGGTAAACTAATTCATTTTAGGCCCATTATAGCCCAAAATGTTAAGTTTCATGCAAGTGGTCTAATTAGAGCCATTTAAGGGTCCTAAGCCCAAAATAGTCAAATTGGAGGCTTATTGGTCCATTAGGCCCAACAAGAAAATCCTAGTCCATAATGGACTTAAACCGGGATTTTTAGGGTTTCCAATCTTTTGTTGACTATTTGAAGTGTGTGTATTGAGTGTTTGATGGAATTTTGTTGTCGTTGAATAAACATCATGCATGCTTTGAAGTTTTAGTCACAAATGTTATCATTGTTAATGTTTACAAAAGCATTAGAATTCCTAGTTGTGACACCGTAGCAGCTCAAGCACCCCCAAAAACTCACTTTTTGAGTCTTAAATTTGCTTAGATGGTTTTGGTCTTTTAGGTAACCATTTGGAACATCTATAAATGTCTTCATCTCACTTTCTCTAGTTTTGTTCTCTTCATCTCACTCTCTTTAGTTTTGTTAAGAACACATGAAGATTACTTTCTTCTTGATGCTCTGTTTATGTTCTTATTTTGATAAGAACATAAAGCTTAAGAGTCTTAAGAGTTTTATACAAAAGAACTAGCATTCTACATCAAGTTGGCTTCTTGTTGGTGTCTCTAAAGTTCATCATTATTCATCAACTTCCAACCCTCCCAAGAGGATCCAAAGAACTACAAAGGTTGTTATTTGTTCTTCTTTTTCTTTGGTTGTGTTTGTTTTCTTTCCAAACTTTGCAAAAACATGTTTTTTAACAATGGAAGGCTTATATGTGTTGTTGGGTTTTTATTCAAAAACTAGTGTTGTTGGGTTTTTATTAAACAAACACAACCAAAAACTAGTTTCAAAAACATGTGTTGTTGGGCCTCAATAATGTAGGAGCAACCTATCAACAGAAAGTATACAAAAATGCCTTTCGGCCTCAAGAATGCAGGAGCAACCTATCAACGACTTGTGGACAAGGTCTTCAGAGATCAGATTGGCGGAAATTGGAAGTATACGTTGACGACATGGTGATTAAAATCCAGAATGACAGCGCGTTACTCAAAGACATAGAAGAAACGCTCAAAACCATTGAGAAAATACGCACGAAGTTGAACCCCTCAAAATGCACGTTTGGTGTGCAAGAAGGAATGTAGTTACTGGACACAGCTGAGCCGAGAAGCTTAAAATGGAATCCAACCAAGTCTGAAAAAAGGTTATTGTTGAGTTACTGGACACAACTGAGCCGAGAAGCTTAAAAGAATGTAGGCTTTGAACGGAAAAATTACCTCTTTGGGATGTTTCATCGCCCGCTCAGCCGACAAAGCAATTCTATTGTTCCAAACATTGAAAGGATGTATTGACAAGCGTAATTTTTGGTGGACAACAGAGGTTGAATGTGACCTCCATGACTTAAAGAAAGCCCTCCGACAAATACCAACCTTTGCAAGCCCTATCCCAGGAGAAAAATTGTCGATCTACCTATCTGCTATGGAAAAGGCCATATCGGTTGTATTGAAGGTAGAAAGGAAAGGAAAGCAGTTGTCACTATACTTCATCAATAGAGTGTTACAAGGAGCAAAATTAAATTATCCCGTGATCGGGAAACTAGTGTTAGCACTGGTATATACAGTCAGGCGACTGCGTTGTTATTTCAAAGCTCATCGAGTGGAGGTTTTGACAACCCAACCTCTAAAAAGCATTCTACTAAAGCCTCAGGAGTCCGGAAGATTAATAAAATGGGTCATCGAGCTGGGGGAACACGACATAGAATATCATCCCAAGACAAGCATAAAAGGAAATGCCTTAGCAGATTTCTTAACAGAAGTGTCAAACAAAGAGTGTAGCTTGATTGTTACTCGGCCAGAAGAAAACGATAGGACACTAACTGGTAACCAGGCTTGGGCATTGTATACCGACAGAGCAGCTAGTAAGAAGGGGTCGGGTGCATGTCTCGTACTCATCAACCCTAAAGGAAACGAAGTCATGTATGCATTGTGATTCGATTTTCACACCACCACCAACGAAGCAAAATATGAAGCCCTACTCGCAAGACTAAGGTTGTCTCGCAAAATGGGAATGAAAAATCTAAAGGTTATGACCGATTCCATGTTGGTCACAAATCAGATAAATAGGGTGTATGCCACAAAGAATGCAAGAATGAAGAAATACGTGACGTAAGTAAATGACATGGCAATGTCATTCGAAGGCCTAGTGATAAAACAAATAAAAAGAAGTGAGAATAGAAGAGCGGGTGCATCAAGCAAGTTAGCAGCCACAATCTACAGCCATTTGTTGAAGAAAGTACTGGTGGAAATATTCAAAAACCCTATCATAGATGAAATGGGCATAGTCGCCATCACAACCAGGGAGAAAGGATGGATGGCTCCCATATATTATTACTTGTTACATGGTCTATTACCTGACGACCTAAACAAAGCACACAAAGTAAAAATGAAAGCACCTCAGTTTGTCATCAAAGACGGCCAACTGTACAAAAGATGATTTTTAATGCCATGGTTAAAGTGCATAACGGTAGCATAGGGGGTAGACGTTCTCAAAGAAACACACAAAGGAGACACAGGGGCACATGAGGGTGCAAGATCCTTAACTGGAAAGGTGTTACGCATGGTTCTATATTGTCCAACATTACATAAAGAAGTAGAAAAGGTCACAAAAAGATGTGTAGAATGCTAAACTTTCTCGCTAGTAAAGCGGTTACCATCCACGCCACTCACTAGCATCTTCAGCCCCTGGCCATTCCACAAGTAGGGAATTGATACTTTAGGGACATTCCTAGAAGCATTAGGGAGAATAAAGTTCTTAGTGGTGACATTTGATTATTTCACAAAATGGATAGAGGCAGAACCAGTGACAAATATTACACGAAGATCCATGAGCAAATTTATGTGGAAAAACATTTTGACTCATTTTTGGAACACCAAAAACCCTCATCAGTGACAACGGATTACAGTTTGTTGAGAAGCATTCAGGGGGTGGTGCCACGAAAGACACATTGAGCAACATTTCATGTTAATAGCTCATCCACGGGCAAACGGACAAACAAAGGTGTCTAAAAAAACATTGGTAAACAGAATCAAGAAATGGTTGGGCAAAGCCAATGGAAATTAGGTGGAGGAGCTACCCAACTTATTATGGTCCTACCGAACGATCCTACAAACCAGCACAAAGGAAACTCCTTTCAGCCTTGCGTCCGGCATAGAGGCAGTTTTGCCACCAAAATTACTCGTAGGATCGGTGCGCACAACAACAAAGAGGCATCTAACAAGGATCTCCAACACAATCTTGATTTACTCGATGAAAAAAGAGAAAGAGATTAGTTGCACCAGACGATATACAAATCCCAAACTGAAATTTACTAAAAAAAATGAATGTAAGGGCAAGACAAGAAAGTTGGAGATTTAGTTCTAAGGGAAAATGAGGTCATCCATAGTGAGTCGAGGGGAAAACTGGGCCCAACTTGGGAAGGACCATACAGAGTAGTCACAAGTCATCACAACAACTCCTATGAGCTGGAAACCATGGAAGGACGCACAATTCCCCGCACTTGACACATTTAGAACCTTAAGAAAATTTTCATATAAAAAACGGGGGATGGAAGGAGGATAGATGGGACGAAAAGCTAGGGATGCTATTTTCCTTGTAATAAAATTTTAAATGTCATTTAAGTGAAATGATCCCATGGATGATCACCCTGGGTCGCTATCTTTTGTGTTTATTTTACAAGTACATTTGTCTCACTGTCATTCTGGCTTAAAGGATTATAACCTTTTCCAAAAAGAGTTGCAAGGTGTCATTACCGAACTCTGCAAAATAATAGGCAGTTTAGTCCTGTCTCGTTCTGGCACAAAGGATTATAACCTTTTCGAAAGAGATTTGCATAGTGTCATTACCCGGCTCAGCATGATAGCTTGTAGTTTAGTCATGTCTCGTTCTATCTCAAAGGATTATAACCTTTTCCAAAGGGAGTTGCATGGTGTCATTACCCAACTCGACATGATAGCATGTAGTTTAGTTTTGTCTCGTTCTGGCTCAAAGGATTATAACCTTTGCAAAAGAGAGTTGCATGGTGTCAGTACCTAACTCTGCACGATAGCAAGCAGTTTAGTCCTGTCTCATTCTGGCTCAAAGGATTATAACCTTTGCAAAGTGATTTGCATGGTATCATTACCTAACTCTGCATGATAGCAAAAAAGTTTAGCATCATCCTAGTGCAAAGGATCATAACCTTTACTTAAAATCTATACAAATAGTCACATATAGACTTTCAAATGAATAAAAGGCTCAACAAAAACGAAGCTAAAAAGATTAACACGCCAAACCAAAGCATGTCCATGAGCATACAACAGAAAGAAATTTTGTCTAAGTACAAGCCAAAACCTGGCATATTAAGACCGCGCAGGGCCACCAAAAAGAAAACAAAGAAAAGTTTACCATCACACCCATTCAGGGTAGCACAATCGAAAAAATGCCCCAAAAGAAAAGATTATTCATCACTTCATGCCTCCATCCAGACCAGAAATCTTCACAACACTGTTGGTACCCGCTGCACCATTATCATCATACGCATACAGCTTGCGAAGGCCACCTGTATCTAAAGAGCCTAATTTCATCACGGTGGCATAATCACAAGAAAAAAACGAGTCAATGGAATTCACAATTTCTCCGATATGACTGGAAGTGGAGCTGGCAGCTTTAGGATTAAAAGCTCCAGCAGCAATGTCCTTGCGAACACCCACCCTACCAGATTCCTCGCCAGTGGCAAAACACATATTTTTTATTCGACCAATGGCCTACAGGAAATCAGGGAGCTCCATAACTTTATCCACGATCCTCACCATACCTTCCTTCACAAGACAATCCAAATCGCCCCTAATCTTAGAAACCTCGATTTCACGATCTAAAAGTTGTTTCTCCTAGTCCTGAAGTTCCCTTTCCAAGCTCTCTACACAAATGCTCAAAGCCTTAATTTTCTGCAGAATGTCGTTAAGCTTAACCTCCACATTTTAACATCGCTCATCAAGATTTATTTTCTCACTAGCAATTAGCTCTATTTGTTGGTCAGTGGACTTCACTTTCGCCTCCAACGAAGCCACTTGTTGCTGCAAGCTCCTCTCATTAGAACGAAGCTTCACCAATATGCTCTTAAGGTGTCTGATACGCCGAGCCCCAACGGTAAGAAAGAAAGCGCTTTGAGCGGAGGCAAACTCTAAAAAGTCAGTCGTCTTCTCATCTATGAAAGCTTCCATCTCAGTGACATATCCTTTGGGAAAAGCATGTCGTGGAAACTCCACAACAACTTCTTGGTTTGAGATGCAAAAATCATCTGTAAGATACTAAGATTCCAGTTAGGGATGGAAATATTACTTGAGGAAGGATTCTTGCCCTGCAAACAAGTAATGAGGTCATCATAATCAGACATCTCCAAACCAATTGGAGATTTTTGTTGATTAAAAATAGGAAGCTGCATCAAAATAGTCTCAACTGGATTCTTAACAACTACGAGATGCTTAGTTGCCCATTGTATTCTTTTGGACTGTTGAACGTCGTCATCAAGAATACTTATAACCTCATCACTTGATGGCATCAGTTTTGCGAAAAAGTTAGTTGTAAGCTTCCTCCGACGAGAATGATGAGTGATAGAATTCTCATTCTCAACTTCGGAGGGACACTCAATACTTATTAATCCCTTGTTCCTCAACCGAGGGCATGACGCCGGTTAAAATGCCATCCTTGTTATCTTCCAAACGTTCCAAATCCCTAGGATTTTTAGAGGAGGGCAGTTCGAGAGCACGAACACCCGACAAGGCATCAAATGATGGTGGATCGTTGATAACCATCAATTGTGAAGGAGCAGAAGTAGAAGAAGCGGGAGTAGCATGAGCCAACATCTGACGAGGGATTGACAATGCGTCATACAGAGCAACTATAACACCCGTTTCTCAAGTACTTTTCATTTATGGATAAAAGTATAAAATTCTTGCCAATATGGTCTTACGCGGTGCGTAGGTGGTTTTCTACGCAGGGCGCAGAAAGGAGAGTGGACACGACCACTTAAATCCCTATGTAGGGTGTACCCTTATATACACAGCGCGTAGGTGTTTTGATTTAAAACCCTAATTTTTATGGTTGTGACCATATTTAAAGACCTTAACTCCCTTAAGGTCCTCCCCATACTCAGCCTCTAATAGCAGCCAACTCAAAACCATAATCCCTTATGAGCTTGTTTTGAGCCTTTTTGTATGTTTTTGTGCATTTTGAAGAAGGAGGATTCTATCATGGTGGTTTGGTGTGGCTCAATCTTGAAGATCCAAAGCTTTCATCTCATTTGCCAACTTTAGAAGGTATAAAGATTGAACCTTTTATGATTCCTTGGAATAGATCTAGGATAGCTTATAGATTTTCATGCTTTTGGTCCCATGAGTTTGGCTTTGTAAGTAAGAGCTACTCCAGAGCTTAAGTTTGTCATTTCTTGTTGCTTTTGATACGAATGAGATTTAAAACCGGAAAACCAGGCCAAAACCAGAACCGTTAGAACCAGAATATAGAAAATCGGTTCCGGTTCCGGGCTTAAAGAATAAATTTATCCTGGTTCTGCGTGATCCGGGTTTGGGTCCATCGGGTCTAGATAAACTGGGTTTAAGAACTGGAACTGGTGTTAAGAACCGGAACCACTTTTAGGGACCGGAATCGGTTTCTGTAAAATGTTTAAAACATGCATATCTCAAAGGTAGTTTATAGTATGTACATGATTTTAGACTATAAATTTGTCATTTTTAATTTTATATTCATTGACTTATAGTCCCCAAAAATCAAGATATCAAAGCTGGAAGATTTAGTTTTTCAGCTTTTTGTATTCTATGAAAATTTTAAAACATGCATATCTAATTCGTTTGAAGTCGGATTGACATGCGGCTTTTTCCAACTTGTAGTTTAAAGTTTGTACATGAGTTTAGACCATAATTATGTCATTTTTCGTTTAATATTCAATGAATTACAGTCCCGTAAAGTCGGGATATCGAAGCTGAAAATTTTCATCTTTTCAGCTATTTGTTTTTGTACTTTGTATTCTGATAAAATGTTAAAACATGCATATCTCATTTGTTTAATGTCAGATTGACATACGGTTTTTCCAGAGTGTAGCTTATAGTTTGTACATGATTTTAGACTATAATTTTGTCAATTTTGGGTTCATATTCATTGACTTTCCATCCTTCAAAGTCGAGATATCAAAGCTGAAAGTTTTTAGTTTTTAAGCTTTTTTGTATTCTGTGAAAATTTTAAAACATGCATATCTAATTTGTTTGAAGTGAGACTGACATTTGGTTTTTTTCCAACTTGTAGTTTAGAGTTTGTAGATGAGTTTAGACTATAATTTTGTCATTTTTGGTTTAGTATTCAATGAAATATAGTCCCCCGAAGTCAGGATATCAAAGTTTAAAATTTTCAACTTTTCAGTTTTTTGTTTTTGTACTTCTTATTCTGTGAAAATGTTAAAACATTCACATCTCATTCGTTTAAAGTCTTACTGACATACGGTTTTTTCCAGAGTGTATTTAGAGTCTGTACATGATTTTATACTATAATTTTTTCAATTTTGGGTTTATATTCAACAACTTACAGTTCCCCGAAGTTGAGATATCAATATGGAATTTTTCAAAGTTTAAATCACTAAGTAGCAAGTAATTACTAAAAAAATCCGGTTTTTCTGGGTTTTTCGGTTCTAAACCCACTTTATCCGGTTCCACCCTACCCACTTTGATGTTTCTCGGTTTTCTGGTTCTAGACCCACTTTACCCAGTATGGCACCCGAAACTGAACCAGAATCGGTTCCTATATACTGGTCCGGTTTCCGGTCCTACAAAATTTCATTAACCAGTCCCGGGTTTCCAGGTCCAGGTCCAGGTCCATAAAAGTCGGGTTTGGACCCACTTTCATCCCAACCTTCTGAGGTTTATATGTCATAAAAATGGGATCTTGGTTACTATCTTTCACCCGTGCAAGGGTTTGAGGTCATTAGAGGATGTTATGGAACAAGGGTTTGGTCTTGAGCTCCATTAAGCTGTGAAAAGGCATAAAATCAGGAACTTTATCACTCTAGACATTCATTTGGACCAGATCTAGATTTATATGGGTTTTCTTTATGGATTAAGAGCTAAAATGGAAAATGACTTATCAACGTCTACACGGTGCATAAAATAGACTACGCCCAACGTAGCCTTGATTCTTCTCGATTTCTTTTAAGCCCTCTATGCAGGGCGTAAAGGCATGGTGTACACAAGGCATAGCACCAGAAGGTATGTTTGGTCAATTTGGGACATCAGGTCATGTTTGGAAATTGGAAGGGTCTAACCTTGAAAGGGTAAAATGGTCTTTTACCCTAGAGAGAGACAGTGTGTAATAGACCCATGATTATGGATTATCACCTTAATTTCTAATTAGGGTTGTTTTGGATATGTATAGTGTGAGGAGGATCTCGTACCAGCAGATTGGGTGTGAGACTTATCTGTTATCGATTGAGGTGAGTCTCCTCACTATACTGTAGGACACTAGGTATTATTGGATTGCAATTGTCTTTATGACTCTTGTATGTTATGAATGTTGGGCGGGGCCCGATGTATGTATGGTATGCGGTATTTTGGGGAACTCACTAAGCTTTATGCTTATGGTTTATGTTTATGTTTCATGTACTTCTGATTCCAAAGGGAAGAGCTCCACGTGATTGCATTGCGTCCACTAGTATTCCACATTTTATGACTTGTACCAAGGAGGGCATCATGGAGATTCTATATGAGCGTAACTTGGGGGAATTGGGGCGATCCTTTAGGAAAGTACAGATAGTTGTGGAAGGTAGTATTGGGCTCATACAACTGAAAAACACATGATCTATACTCGATTCAAAAGAAGTCACACGAATACTAAGGAACACGCGGCGTGTGGGATTCTTCGAGTGTTTTCTAATGGTTTGCATTGTTTATTTTCAGTATGGTGGTCACTCAAGGAGGTTTTGGTTCTGGCGATGGGTAGGGTTTGGGTTCTGGGGCCAAACCGATTGATGAGCGAGTGTGAGAGATCATCTCGTCTGAGATTACTCATAGTATTCTAGAGCAGACTCCTGTGATCTTTGGTACGATCAAGGAGGGCATCATGGAGATTCTATATGAGCGTATTGGCACATTTCGTACTAAGATGGTGACTATGGTGGGAGCACGAACTCTTACTTTCGAGAGTTTCGTGCATGTGGGGCTCCTGAGTTCTTCGGGAAGAAGGACCCCATTGTTAGCATGCGATGGTTGGCGGACATCATGAATGCTTTTCGGACTAGCTTCCGCCCCAAGGGGTCGAAGGTCAGATTTGCATCCTGTCTTTTGAAGGATAAAGCTCGTGATTGGTGGGAGGATGTAGACCATACCATAAGAGGCAAGGCTATTGAGACGATGTCATGGGAGGCTTTTGTGATGAGATTAAGGGCTGAGTTTTCACCGGTGATCGAGGTTCAGCAGTTGGTGAGGGAGTTTCAAACTAATGAGACTGTGGTGGAGATCACCACCATGTTTTGTGAGAGGCCCAAACTGGTTCCGCAATATGTGGCAGACGAGGATATGAAGAAGGTGTGGTACCACGATATGATGAAGGATGAGATACAGGAGTTTGTGAGCGTATCCATCTGCAAGACTCTGGATGACATGATAGCGAGGGCTTGGGAACGAGAGATTGATTTGGAGACTATGATGAAGAGGAAGTCGGTTCGGGCCCAGGTATCATAGGGCTC